TATCCTACCTTTTCAACTTCCCACCTATAACAGTGGCACATCTATCAGCGCTGTAAGCTCTTTTTTTTTATTAAACTAAATTGTAACGCATTTTTAAATTTTTTTTTATTACTATTTATTATACTAAATATACGGGTAATTTTTCATCAAATTGCTTAAATTAATTTTTAGAGCAATATAGTACAGTCTACGCGGTAGTCGCTTTTTAATGCAATACAATTCGAGTCTTATAATAACGAGTACCAAGGCATAGTCTTTTTTTTATTCGACGATAATAAACGAGATGGTATTTTTTTACCGGTTCTTCTAAAAATGTACGTTTCGTAATAAACGGAATGAATAATAACTATTATACATTAATAATTTCAATTTGCACTCAACACATCGTATACATTTATATACCTTGTGTTAATAGGTTAATTAGTTATATTTATAGGTCTATGGGGTACGGGCACAATATAATGGTTTTCAAAGGTTTTTGAACCTTGACTTTTCGAGCGAGGCGTATTTGTATAATTTCCTTTGCAACGGTTATGTAAACAAAAAAAACATAACAAATATTATAATATATTTACCGTGGGGGCAAACAACTCAAATATTTCGAGGGTCTTAACCCCGACCTTAATCATATATACTACCAGTATTTACTCTATAAAAGGACATGCATGATGGGGGCATACTAAAACCCTCAATTGGCCCCTGTTTGCGTTAATAATTTATAAGAACTAAGTGTATATCGCGGTTATTGGTAACATAATACCCGAGAGAATATTATATGTGTTTACATTTTGAAATTATTTCGCCGATAATTGTATATTAAAAAATATATAATAATATCGCAAGTATAAAATACATGGCGGTGTATCGTAAAACTAATACGATTAATTAATTATATATTTATGTAGGTAGGTACCTACATAATATAATACGTATATAGACACACGAACAAGTTTCACTAGCGTTTTTCACGAACTCTGTTATATTTCTATCAAGTTGTATATTAACTTTCTATTCGGATAGAGATAGAAAGAATAAAAATAAAAAATGCCGTTTTTCACGATACTATTACGTCGAATGAACAACTTAAATCGTACGCGGGTAAATAATATGTATCGATTTATTATTATCTATACACACATGCATATATTATATACGTCTATATGATGTTTGCGATCCTATTGTTTTTCGTTATTATTACCCACTATTATTATTATAATATTTTTTTGTTTAATAAACGTAAAGAGTACCGAATTATTTTTAACGTTCCGCGATAAACACAATATTATAATGGGGCAGTGGCCAATAAACAAATATTTACGATTAAAAAAAAGAACACCGTCGGTTCGCCATCATTTGTTCGATAAATATGTTTATTGTATTGCACACCTGTTGTAGGCTGTACAGTATTATAATATATAGTAGGTAGTCATAGTAAAGTCGTAATATAAACGTCGACAAATCATTATTTAATTTAATGGTACCTATGTATATATATATATATATAGATAAAGAACTGATCGAATTCGAAACCGGCCGCGTACCTATAAATTGGGGAAACTACCTCCCCCCCTCCTGATGGCTACGGTAAAATAAGTATATAAATAATTCTACTTAATTCTTCTAATTAATTAGGTACTACCTTATCTACCATATAGTTTACGTACATTTTACAAAATATTCTCAAAAAAAAAAAAAACGTTGGATTATATTTTCGCTGAAAATATTCTGTATGCAATTTTCGTTTTGTTTACATTTCTATGCCTCCCCTCTCTATCGTTGAAAATTCTCGAATACGTCACCAACAGAACACCTGTTCCAGGCCCCCCATTTCGTATTAAAATATAACGATCGACTCTCATCGGATAGTGGAGCCCATAGCCTTAGAAATATTTTCTACTAATAATTATTTTTACAAGATATTATATTCTGCATATGGAAATTTGAATAGAAAATTGTATACGAGTCGCACTAATGCGTAATATTTCAAGGATATTTACATTTACAGTCTACTATTATCTGCACAGAAAACCCGAAAGACTTAAAATACAGAAGACGAGTTGCTAAAAACACGTCGTGAAGCAAACGGATAGTGTACAACAGATGAGTATACTGTATACATAGAAACATGTATACTTATCTCGTTTTAACGTTAACAATAAAATCCGTTAAGCTCCCACATTAATAGATCACGATTATAATGTTGCTGAGTCTGTCATACCGTTAAAGTGTTTTATCAACGGGATGTATTTTTGGTTTTCAATACACGGTGGAAAGGGCGAATTCATCTCAAAATCGGCGATCAAACTCGACAAATTTGTCGACATTATACCGCCCCGGGGGTATCGAAATATTCCTCGCCCTGACGCCCTAGGTCCCTTAACTGGACCCCGTACTCCTCTGCCGAGTGTAAATAAATATCTATATGTAAATGAACTCATAGTGGTGTAAATTGAATGCGTCCGAGCAACGACCAGACAACACGGCCAGATTCGAAATTCTTCAGGAGCAATAGAAAAAAGAAAAAAAGAAAAGGAATTCTATTTTTCGGATTCATCCTATTGTTGCGCCCAAACAGGGATGATTTTTTTTCTTCGCAAGTTATGTCGACAAAAAGTACATGTTCGAGAAAAAATATGTCGAGTTATCCGGTTGTTATACACGAAAATTGCGCGTTCTCCCCCCCCCCACCCGAGTGGCAATAATTAATATAAAGAAATACACGCGACGACGACGTTTGTCCTTTTTAAACGGATTTACAAAAATATCATTGAAAATTAATAATAGAATATTATTATTTTAATTTTTTTGAATATTTTCGCGTGATACGCGCTCGCATTGTTCTACCGGGGCCGCAGAAGAAGAAGAACAAGACGTTAAAATGTACACTTTCACCTTGGAAACGATATCGCGTTACCATCTCAATTACCAGCTGGGTATACATAGGTCGGCTAATAACAAGGTAGACGCATATTTTCGCACGCAATTTACGGATTTTAAAAGGAATTTTTCGATTATTTTCCGGTACCTGTTATGGTATACGTAACTAATACCGAGTGATATTAAAATTTCAAAACCGACCGCGGATGCCGGTATTGTTCAATTTATGAGACGGATGCGACGGTAACCGAAAACACGATCATTTTTCGCGCGCCGGTGCGTTGGTACCCGGTAGGCGCACGAAAACGATCCTTATAAATGATCGGCGCGCGGGGTCGAAGAGACGCTATATACGCGGCCGCTACCGAACGACGACGAAAAGGTCTAAATTCGGATGTACGGCGGCAGCGGAGTTTTATTTCTCTTCTGGCCGCCGAATTAATGAATGGCGCGGCACGACAGAGTAGCGAACGACAAAAAAAAATAAAAATAATAATAATAATAATAATATACGGGGATTCGAGGTGACATTTTATGTAAGCACGCGACGCCGCCGGTCCCGGTGCAAAGCGTCAACCGGACGGGTCAGAAATACATTTTGGCGGGCCGCCAAATTTTGGACGGTCCAAAGCCGAAACACGGTCGTTGTTCGACCTGAAGAATTTTCCCTACCCTGCCCCGTGTGCCCGTACCGTCTGTCGCGCGCCGCCGTGAGGTTATTGCCGCCGTCGTCCGCAGCCGCGCCGGGACGGACTGCCAAACCGTCCCGCGTAAAACGCGCACGGAAATCGTCTCGCGGTACTCATTACGAACCGCGGCCGCCGAGCATGTTCTCGGTCGACGGCATACGACGGTCGAAAACCGGTGACGATAATATTGTACCGTTGCGAACGCCGCCGCCCCAAAACCGTGCGTCGGTTCGTCGTTGTTTGTTTACCGTACTCCCCCCGTCGACAGCACAACACACAGAAATGATAACAACATTATATTATTGTCGTTATCCGTGGCGCGTAGATATTGCACCGTAGGGGTATAACGAGAAAATCGAATATTATAATGATAATCGACTTACAAAATCACTGCGCGGACAAGCGCTAGCGAGCGAATCTCGTATGGGTTTAGGGGGGGGGG